TGTCTCACCACACCTCTGTTTACTGTCTCTCTATTATGCATTTCTTCCACTTTCTTCTCTTGCTTTGTGTGGTACATGGAGTGTGGCGACCTGAACTGCCGCACATATGTGCAAAGTTCTATGTCGAAAATCGACCGACCGAATCAGTCAGTCTTTGTTCGTGTTCTCGTTTTCTCATAACCGACCAATATTGAGGACTGTAAACATTGACGGAAATTACTGTCTGCCCCAATTTCTGGCTAGCAGCCAGCTCTCTCACCACAATAGTTGTTGAGCTTTAGGATTTGTCCACATTTTCATGGAGAGACAAAATTCTGCCTAACACATGAGGGGAAGTCATCAATTAAGAAACCAAGAGAAATAAGATTTCATCAATCCTGCATAATTCGTGTTCAAAATGATTCTACATTTTTTGTTGCCTCATGAAATGCTTTCCCTTGGAAGAAAACTTCGTCACTGAATGACTGTTGAGGTCATAAATCTTTTACTTGACTAAGGTGATTGAACATGTGTGTGTGTGTGTGTGCGTGATAGATCATCTATCATCTACCTAGAAGTAGACAGAAGTGGCGGTCATTCTGGTACTTGACATTTGATATGTGAAAACACACCAGTGTGTAGATTGCTGCGTCGGAGGTTGGAGACTCTTTGTGGTGTAATATGGTTTAATATTGCAAAAATATTCATTCAGACATCTATAAAACACAAAATAATCGAGCAAAGAATATTCTTTTCGATAAATTCCTCTTCCAGGCTCTACAATTTTATATAATGCATGTTTATATACATAGAATATTCTAAATTAGTAGTCAATAACAATATTTCAGCGTGTGCTTTTTAAATAGTAATATCGATTTGTAAAGTAAGATCACAATGGAATCACCACAGTTCATGAAAGATGCTTTAATTATAATAATAATAATAATAATAATAATAATAATAATAATAATAATAATAATAATAATAATAATAAAGATATAATAGCGAACAGAATATCAACTAAAATTAGGGAAATTTCACAAAAATTCTGGATTATTCAAACCTGGAGGAGGATAATAAATAATCTTAAATTGTATTCTATTTCAATTCAATTCACGTACATCATCACAACATTCTAACAAGTTACTTACTTATTATCACTATAACAGAAACACTCGTCTTATTTCCCATTTGATTATTGTAATTGATCAGTAACACTCATATTGTTATTGTTATTATTTCTGAATGTACATTATCCTATATTACTGATTTTTATTCCAATATCTAATCATCAATGCCAGTCATGTATATAAATGAAGGACGAAGAAAGTTGTGTGAGTGAGTGAGTAAGTGACTTGATATGATGATTATGAGTGGCAATAATAAATTGTGCTCGAAGCGTGTGTGGTCACATCAGTTAATATTACTTACTGTATAACACTACACACACTGTGTGACGCTTTATCAAAATAAAATCTTATCCATAATGGAGTAGTTATACTCTACCACACACACCACAGTGGCCAAGTTTTATACTTACAGCAACTTATACCCTTTCATTGGATTTGATAAGGCTGTCAAAGTTTTTCCACATATTTTTATTTATAGATTCTGGTATAAGGTTTTGAAAAAGTTCATTTTGGTACACATCATGCTAATCGTCCAATCAGTTTTCATTCTGAAAAGTATATTGTTCATACATCGAAGCTCTGTGTTTAGATTCAGTTTGTGAGGGTTTTGTGAGACGTCGTAGATTTTTGAAGGTTGTTGGTCGTAATTTGTTTAATCATAGAAGCCTCATAACAAAATTTCTCCCTCTCACAATTCGAAAACGACAAAATCAATAATCTCTTTGCTTCCTGTTAAAAGCTTTTGGTTCCCATGTCATGGAAAACTTCCTAAACGGGAACCAACATTTGCATTAAAGTGTTTCAGTACCATATAGTTTTGGTTATTAGTTTGAAACCATCACTATTAGTCAACATTCTTCTTGTGTACGGTTACTGGATTTCATCATGAGCTGATACCAGTTGGTTAGAGAACCATTGGAAAACAAGCTGGAAGTACTGGACAACTGTTTCGTCAGCCTAGTTTGGGACTCTTCAGCAGTACGCACCCATCGTCAGTGTTTGAACCCAGGACCTTCTGGTTACAAGACTATCGTTGACCATTGAGCCTTTCACTGGGACCTGATCCAATGGCCAGTCAGCCCATGTATTCTAACTTCTGCTAATTCACGATATAGCGCAACCGCTAGCCAATGTCTTCGATGGCGAGTATTTGTCGTCACACCACTGGGACGCGATGTATTTTACTAGTTAGGGAAATGAGTCGATGAGGATATTTTTTTTCAAGTAGCTGTGTAGTTCCACATTTTACGCCTAAGCATTACTATCATTGTCTTACTATACAGGCCATCGAGTGGAATCCGAATGGGAAGCGACGAGTGGGTCTTCCTCTCTCTGAGGGTGACACGGTGGAGGAGATCATGCGGCTCGGAGATGACAGGTTGTGGGCAATAGTGGACCCAGCTAAAAAAGGACGGCAGAAAAAGTGGGGCCAAGTGGAGATGTGTTGATATAAGAATAAAACTTGTGCACTGTGGCGGTAAAGTATAATTCCCCATTATGGGTAAAATTTGTTTTGATAAAGTCTCACAGTGTTGTGTTATACAGTAATGTTTAATGATGACCACGTTTCGAGCACAATTTATTGCTCATAATCATGTCAAGGCGTTACTCACACGACTTCCTAACTTCATTTACATATAGGTTAAAGGACCCAGTTTACCCAATTAGACTAAATAATATAATATACAAAATACCTTACAATGACTGTGAGTCAGGTAAACTACATACGTCAGTCAAACTAGTATGTCAGGGGTAGTCAGATAGTGGGAACATAAGAATTTAGCTAAGGTAATAATGGTTGACCCAGAGAAGATAAGTAAATTAGAAAAAAGCACTCACCACTACATTGCACTGCATGCATTAACACACAACCACAAAATAGCATGGTGGGAGAGGGTTAAAATTCTAAAAAGTAATCTAGGTAGGTGGAGAGGTTGATTACTGAATACTGCCTGGTTCATCGAGTCTACACCCAACAAATGCAATAGGAACGCCTCTCACTTATACCCGAAATATGGAAAATATTACTACCAATCAAATCAAGTGAAAAACAATGGAACTATATAAATGGAGTTAGGAAGTCTTGTGAGTACTGCCTTGATATGATTATGAGCAGTAATAAATTGTGCTCGAAACGTGGTCATCAGTAAATATTACTGTAGTATAACAACACTGTGAGACTTTATCAGAACACTATTTTACTCATAGTGGAGGTGTGTGTTGTTGAAGCCCCAGCCCTATTTTCCATTCGGAACTCAAGGGGACCCAAATAGTAATAATAATTTTCGATAGAGAAAGAAAGACCAGATTTGCAGTATAAAATGATATCATCATTCTATTTCACAGGTTCTCATCAGCTGCAAACTACCTGAAATTACAATTACTATTTATAACAAATAGTGATAACATTTCATACTTCATTGTTTGAAAGGGAATAAAGTGAAAACATTATAAGATGAACGCATCCGGAATATAAGGATTAAAATTTATAGTTTAAGTTACCATCAATTTGTATACTATCAAACTATGAATACGAACTATGGAATAGGAACACAACGACGAGTTCAATTTCCTGGACCTAAATGTAAAAAGAAAAAACGATGGAACGACTGAAAATCCATCTACAGAAAAGGAACTTGGACTGGACAATACCTTCTTCGCTACAACAGTTTCTGCCTTATGAACTATAAGCGGGAATTAGTAAGGACACTGTACAACAAGGCTAAGAAGTTATGTTCACCTAACAAGGTAGAAGAAGAATTAAGCATTGTTGAAAAATGCCTTAAGGAAAACGGGTATCCAAAAGGATTTGTCCTAAAGTACAGATGAGAAAGAAAGAGATGAGAAAGCGAAGTATCCAACAGTTGAAAAGAAGAAAGTGTTCATTTGCCTCCCTGCCATACAGAGGAGAAACAGTATCGCAAAAGATTGAAAAGAGGATGAAAGGAGCAATAAAGTGATGCTTCCCTGCAGCCAGTCTGGTGACACTACACAGTACTACATGCTCTAAAAGCCAATCGAAACTGGATAAGCACCCTTGTTGATGTTACCTCCAACTGCATTTATAAATTTACGTGCACCTGCAGCAGCAAGTACATTGAAAGGACAGAAAGAAGGGCTTCCATCCGCTATTTCCAGAGCATATTCCGAGAAACTTATGCTTTAAAGGTAGCAGATATATACAAAGAGCAATTACCAGACATCTTGTGGATACGGCTCATTTTGTCGAGATTTCCAAATCCTTCAAAACATTAAACATACAAAGGACAGCGAATCTACTACGATTTACACCTGAAGCAATTACAGCAATCAAACGTCTCAGACCAAACTTATGCACACAGACAGAGAGAGTGTAGTCAATCTCTCACTCCCTTGGTAACCATACCACTTTCATTACACTGATTACTCATACACACTAGTGGGCTCGACTCATTAAGCAAGTTTTCAAATTGATGAACTTTAGCCTTCTTAAGTAGCCATGTTGACGTACAAGCTAACACTGTTTATTTGATTTTTCTGTTTTCTCTCACCCCTCCTTTTTTCTTCCTTTTTTCATAGTTTGATAGTATATAAATTGATGGTAACTTAAACTACAAAAAATTCTAATCCTTATATTTCGGATGCGTTCATCTTATAATGTTTTCTCTTTATTCCCTTTCAAACAATGAAGTATGAAATGTTATCACTATTTGTTATAAATAGTAATTGTAATTTCAGGTAGTTTGCAGCTGATGAGAACCTGTGAAATAGAATGATGATATCATTTTATACTGCAAATCTGGTCTGTCTTTCTCTATCGAAATTTATCAAGGGAACCAAATGTATGAATTAAATTATTTTAATTTAATAATTTTTCTTTTTTTTTTATCTATGCAATTCCATCATATCTAGAGTTCATCTTGTCCGAACCCCAGGCAAACAATTCGGTCTACATATCCGTACAGGTGCAATTCAATACTACACGAAAAATGGCTATGAAACAGTCCCAGCGTTTTTTATCTCTCGTCTAACAGAAGATGGTATCGCCTACAATACAGGCCTGTTAGCTGTCAATGATGAAATCATTGAAGTCAATGGGATTGAAGTCTACGGGAAGTCATTGGACCAGGTGAATGATATGATGGTGGCAAACAGTTCGAATTTAATAATCACCATACGACCAGCAGATCAAAGTATGTGCCTACCTCCACGGGAGATTTCACGTTCACGATTTTCACCACAAAATTCTGATCTGTTGTATGGTCCACGGAAAAATATCTCTCAGACTGAACGTCGTAATACAGCGTCATCAGCATCAGCCTTAGTTACTTATTCACAGTCTCCAGCACAACAACAAGCCGCCGCCGCTGCCTCACGTTCGTCAGGACGAAATACTCCAACTACTACTACTAGTGTGACTATTGATGGTCAATTCTCCAGGATGGGATTACATAATGGTGCTAGTAATAATAGTAGTAATAATAATAATGGTGTTGAGTCCACGATACAAATTAATGAAGATATTGGCAGTGATGACGATATGAACGTCGGTTTAATTACCATCTAATCCATCCCTCTTTTTTTTTCAATCCAATCGAATCCAATCCCCATTAACATTCCTTAAGTGTTTTTTTTTAATTTCCATTTTTTTGGGGGGGGGGGTGATGGTGGTGATGATGAATGAAACTCGTGTCTACTTGTAAACAAACAAACAAACAAACATATCACACAAATGGCATGCATGCATGCCTTCACACACACGCCAAATTTCATAATTGTGATTTCCAATATGGTTCTTCGCCTTGTCATCGAAGCATTCCAAAATGTGCCGGTTGGTTTTTTCCGTCTTCAAAACTTTTCAAAAAACTAACAATAATAATTTTTTCTTGTGTTTTTTTTTGTATTGTGATCATTAAAACTGTAGGTGTGGTAGCCGTATTCTTTTCCCTCTCTCTGAGTGTCCAGACGCACTCACACACACGCACACAGAGTGGAGGGGGGAACAGCTTGCTACACAGGTGAAAACTGTATGTGTACTCCAGCGTCAGCGTTTTGTATTATTGTTATTTTTATTTTTACTGACTGACTTGTTTATTTATTTATTTATTATTTTGGAAGTCATGGTACTTTGCTACTTTTGTTTATGGTATAAATTTTAGCGCTTTTATCATTATTATTATTATTATTATTATTATTATTGTAATTTTCAAATGAAACATATCACATTGCTCAAATTTGCACTATATAAAGATATTCTCTTTTATTATTGGGTTTGTCTACACACCAATTGTGTTATAAATGTGAAATATAATATATATACTCACTCTCTTCTTTCATTCACTTAGCGTTAGTCCTTCTGAAATATAAATTCAGACACGGTCTTCTGTGAACACCTTGGAGTGAGGAGCTGCAATCTACGTATGTGTGTTGGCATGAACTAGTTTCTTGGTTTGGTTCTAGAACATAGGCATTCATTCCTACCGGCGTCCGACAATCATTATATTTCTTGATCTAAAGGCGGAATTCGATTCTGTCGAGATAGAGAGAGGTTCTCTGGCGATGCTTGCTGTCTGTAAAGGGAATGCCGAGAAAATACATTACACTGATCAAGCCATGCACTCTACTCGTATTCATGCAGTCAGCCAGGTGAGGGCTTACAGCGAGTTGTCATCTGAAGTGGTGACGACTAGTGGCGTCCGTCAAGGATGCCCATTATCCCCATTTCTATTCAACTTCATCGTAGATGTACTAATAGATATAACCCTAACACGCTTCAGCGACTCAGGGATTGACTTGTTGCCACCAGGGAATAATCTCGTTGACTTAGAATATGCGGACGATATAGTCCTTCTAGGCGAGGATGCTGACAAAATGCAGACACGGTCTTCTGAACATCTTGAGCAACAATCTTCGTATGTTTGGCATGCGATTCGCCCCTGTAAAATGTAAGATGATGTTGCAGGATTGGACTACACTGACCCCTAGATTAGAAATAGGAAGTGAAGTGGTTGGTGGAGTACGTTGACCGCTTTACTTATTTG